CATTATAAAAAAAAATAAACGGCAAAAAAAAAAAAAAAAAAAAAAAGAGAGAGAAAAAAAAAAAGAAAAAAAGCACAGAATCTATGCTAGCCAACTAGCCAATGCCTGCCAGCTGTGTACTGGGCAAGGACACACTGCACTGCACTAGTGCACATCTGCAGACAATACTACACTTTAGCACTGCTGTGCTCCACAGCAGCCATACACTGCTGCTACAAGAGCTGTCAATCCTGTTGACCTCTGCAGCATTTACTCAGTTGTCTCCCAAAACTCTCCTGCCTTCATACAGCATGATCCACCATGTCTCCTGTTATGTTTCCACCATGTCTCCTATTTAGTAAGTCCTATCTTTCTGCAGTTCGACCACTCATGCTGATTTATCAATGCTGAGTTTTGGGGAGTTTTCTATTCAACAATTTCAAATAATGTATTTGCTACTTCTCAAGGAATAGCCACAGAAGAAGCTCTGATATTAAATATATATATATAAAATCTCAAGTGTGTATTCTAGCAACTGAAATCTGGGTTAGATTTTATATTTGATCTGATTTTACTCCCTGTATCAAAATAGGGAGCACTTATGCCACAAAATGTTCTCATTCAGAGACACCTCTCCTGTTGAATCGTTGAAATACTTAATCCACACATTCTAAGTGCTGCCCAATTGCTGCAAAAACCATCAACAGAAATCACACAAAGTAAACATTAACCTCAGCCTCAGGGTCAGACGGTTACTTAAGCAGAAGGTGCAGAAACAGCATGAGAGAAAACACTTCCTCAGTCTGTCAGAGTCCTGTCTACCTGGGATTAGCCACCCTTACAATACACGATGGACAAGCTCCTTCCAGATGTGGTGAGTACTGCAGCTGGCAGTACCAGCTGTTCATATTAATCTCTCAGAAGAACTGAGAGGTTGTTGCAATTACTGTTCCTAAAGAAACACAATACATACATGCTAAACTATTTTCAAAATAATAGGCTGGACAGTGAACAATCCTAATTTTATTGCTGTAAAAATTAGAGCTAACATTTAAATAAAAATTCAAAAGACACAGAATTAATTTTCTGGACTAAATATTCATGGAAACTTTGAAGTTCCAGCTGGGTAGAGAAATGTATTTTTTTAAAGAAGTTTTAATGTTGTCAAGTACTTAAATGGTGAGACATTTCTGTACTGTTTTCACCTGCTCCCAGATCTCCCAGGTACAACTGTGATACTCTTAGCTTTCCTAGTTAGTAGCCTGACAGTGATCTGATATTGTTTATTTGAAAATCAAAGGTTTGTGGAATGGTCAATTAATTAATGTGAAGAAGGGCAGCAAAACTGATAAATATAACCTTTATCTGGCTGATCTTTTTTTACATTGATGCTTTGCATGTTCTGCTATGATTAATTAAGCACCATCAAAGAAGGTATCTTAGAAATGCCGGGACTATGATATCACCAGTTTTTTTTGTGATGAGCTTGTACAATTCCTTGCAGGTTCAGTACCAGGGGTTGTCTGTAATACCCTTTGTGTTGGAAATTGGTGGATGACTCGCAATTGGCTTTCAAATCTCTATTGATAACTACTCAGGCATGGCAAAAAAGGATTTAAGCAGATATAACATCTTCAGGAATCATGTAAAGAATGTAAAGAATGTAAATTAATGTAAAATGTAATTTACAAAATGTAAAGAATGCCTCACAAAACAAATTGCAAATTGTTTCCATTGACATTCCATTCCCAGCTATTTCCACCTGTCCTTCTCTGCAGAGGAAAAGAATAAGATCCAGACTATAGCTGCCTTTCAGTGGGCATGCCCAGGTAACAAACACATGAGTCTCTCCACTTAACAGACTTTAACACTGCAGTCAAATTTTTCAAAAGATACCATGTAAAGTAATTTTAAGTGAGTCAATTTGGGTACCACAGCCACCTAGCTGAAATTGCAGACAGCCTAGTGGGAGCTATCTCATCTGGTCAGCAAACTGCATAAATTACCTCATCAATTTACTATGAATTCTTTCCAACAAATCTGCCAGCATGTCTTTGTAATTCTACACGAAAACACACACGCATACAAACATGCAGCCCTTTAATGAACCAATATGCTACATCATCAGTGCAAAGAGCTGCCAGTGATAGTGACCATAGTTTCTCTGTTCAGGTCCAAGGAAGGCATTTCCAAGGTGCTCTAAGAAGAGCCATGTGATCAGACAAGGCAAGAGAGATCAGACACTATATTGATGTTTCGACAAGTGTATAGTGTTACTTAAGGTTTATATAATAACAACTGGGAGATAGGATCTTATTTTTGCAAGACTGTGAACAGGATATAAACAAATGTCACTGGTGATCTCATACCATGTGTGTTAATATTATGATGTCTGACACCTTAGAGGAATAACTGTTGAATAACCTAAATAAATCTGCATGTACAAATATGCTGCATGAGTAGTACAGTTGCATCAAGCTGTCCTCTTTGTTCTGCACAGCTATGAAGAAACTGTGGGGTGAGGGAGAGCACCAGGCAGAAGTGGACAGTCTGCAAAAACAAAAGGCAGCGATGGAAAACTTCAGCCCCCTGAGTGTGTTGGGAGCAATGGAAGACCAAACTCTGCACAGGCAGCTGTGCATTTTGGTTGTTGTGATCAGAACTCTGCAATTCTCTGGCATGAATGAAATTGGGCATCTCCCCTTTTTATGCACTAAAACAACTCCTAGGTGTCCATAAGACAATTCTGCAGCTGAAGCTTGGAGATGCTATAAAAGAAGCTGTATCTGGGTGGGAGTCCAGCAGTCATGAGATTAACTCCTGGCCATCAACTGACTGCTGATTTGGCTTCGGGTGTTTTTGTCTATCCATCTAACACTCTTCATTTGGAAAACTGGTATTTGCTATCTACCTCACAGAAAAAAAAAAGAGAGCTGAAATAAGCTGGCAAAGAAGTGTACAAATGCACTGTGTTATTTAAGAAGAGAAGTTTTGAATTATGGTTAATTTCTTCTGCTATAACTCTGGAGGCAGACTGTCTTGTGTACATACACCCAGGATGAAATCTTATGCTGCTTTTTGCCACCACTCTGGCAGTGCTTCTATAGAGCTTGCAGCTTCCCTAACAATGTCATAAAGGGGAACTTCTAATGCCTGAGTCACCTGTTTGTAAATAAGAAAAGGATGAGACAAAACAGAACACAAATATGAGACTTTTCTTCCATGCTGCTCCTTTCGCAGTTGGCACGGATGTGCAAATGTGATGCAGTTGCAAGTGCTAGTACTTCTGAACTGCACTGAACAGACATTAAAGCCACGGAGTAGCTAAATATACACACTTTCATTGGTTAGTTTCTTCTCTCTGATTTTACTCTCCTCTTCCTCTTTTTCATATCTTGGTTTCAGGCATCCCAACATTTCTGCACATAGAGGAGAGAATTCTACAATTCTACAATTGTAATCTTGGTCAGGGTCCCTTTGTCTTTGCTGGTCCTTTTAAAACAACCAGTCTCGGCAGAAGCACAGCTGGAACATTGCAGAGGGACTGTTCACCCTTGTCACACAGCACCATGTCAGGTTTAAAAGCATGAGTCTTGGATCCCTCTGTCTCTCTCTTATGAAACACCCTCACTACTTCATGGATTAAGGAACCTTCCCATCTAAAGCCTTCATCCTCCCAGGATGCACAAATCCAATGTGCTAAAGCTCAGGAGGGCTGTTCTCCTACATGGTTACTACTATTGCTGCATCTCCTGCAGTTACTGATAAACCAGGCGGTATATGATTAACCCACCAATGTTAATGTTTGCATGTTGTTTTAACCTCATGCCAAGGCCTCTGTTTCTCATACTTCTGCAAGAATCATCTCAAATTATTTTGACTATTCACCTTCCCTATCTTTTACTAAAAAGGAGAGATAAAACAAGTAAGCCAGCCTTTTTTCTTTTAGCTCTCTCTGTCCTACTTCATCAGTGGCTTCGTTGTGACTGACATCTTGGAGAAGAAGCTGGAAATGTAGGTGCCACCCAGGCATCAGGGACAAAATCAGTGTTGTGAGGCTGCAGCTGGATCCAACAGAACTGAATACAACCAACAGCATCTCTGTCAGTGTGTCAGGGTTATGCTTGCATCTGTTCAAAGCAGGTTATGTTCTGTAAACATTATGGCTTCACCAGCTGTTGCAGCTGTTGTCAGGAGAGCTAACAAAGCTACTTAGAAGGCGGAGCACAGTCTCCTCAAGCTACTGACTGCTGGAGCCTTCTCATCTCATTTTTTTGTCTTTTCTTGGGCCTGCCAGGATATAGTGGGGCTAGAATAGCTGTACCAATAGTGAAAAGAGAAAGGAAGAAGCTTAATGTGAATTCCCTCATCTTCCTCAGGAAATTCATCCATCATTAACACTTCTTGTCACTTCTGTAGGTAGAACATTAAATTATGATGATAGGCACATCTCTTGTTTTTCTGGACCACAGCTGACTTCCATCAGGTGATGACCAGGACTGAAACTAAAATTATAGCAGTTTCTTTGTGTTGAAAACACGTGATAAGCTTTTCAAATTACACTTTCTATTTCTAAACCATTCTTGAAAAGGCAGAATATTTGTTTTCTATTGTTGGAAAAGATATGAATATTCCTTCATATACACAAGTAGAATCTTCATTAATAATATTTACTCTCCTATCATCTTAAAAGCCTGAGAGCAGTCAATAATCAATGTCATCATAATATAGAATATGTGCTATTCTAAGATTTCACTTGGGAAATGTTCTGTGCCTAAATGTCTTCTTTAATTCCAGTCTCCATGATTTTGCTATTCAGAATTTAATTGTGAGTTTTGGATAACAAAACCAAAGTTTAAAATTGAACCTAGAAGAAACCACCGAGTTCCTCTCAGTGTGAAATTAAACTGCAGGTGGCTTCAGTCATCCACAGTGTGCAATACTGTGCAGATCAACCTGGCTCAGAACCAAGCCCAAGCTTTGATCTCTTTAGACAAATTTATGACACACCTCATGAAAGTGAGTTTCGTGTGTTTGTCCATTTCACAGCAAGCGTTTCTTACAGTTCTGTATACAAAAAATGGAAAGATCTCCTTAACTCTGTAACAATTCCTTAAACGTGAAAACATGCACAACTTTCATAGTGAAACAGAGCCTTTTCTAGAATATAGGTGAAATTTTTTACAGAAAGGGTCAATCCCATTAACTTGACAGAAGACAGGAGGTAAACTCCTAGGCGAAAAACCTCCTAGAATTATTGATAATGTGAAACATACCATGGTATATAGTCATGGTAGCTCAGAATTACCAGAAATCCTCCAAATTATATGAGATATTTTTACTGTGAGCTGGTGGAATTTACTGCTTTTTGAGACCCATGGTAATTTTAGAGGAGTGTAGGAAACCTTATGACCTAACCCTCTCCCATGCTTTGATACAGTTTGAGAAAAAGGATGTAATTAAAAGGAAACATTAAAATTTAAAAGCCATAAATACTCAAAAGCTATGCAACTTGAATTTTTGTACAATCAAAATGTTACAATTGCTGGTGTTCAAAAGAAAATGCTAACAAAAATGCCAAATCATTCTAAATGCAGTTGCAAGCCAGAATAAACATCATTTGCTTGGCAGTTACATAGGCAATAGTTGGAATTACACAAGTAACCAAGGTTTTATTATTAACATGCTTTTTTTTCTCATTTCTTTAGACTCGCAGTATTTGCAGTAAACTTCTCTGTAAATAATTGCATCCTGCGTGTCATGAAATGACAGTACGAGTCCCGAGGGTGAGCTTGGGCATTTACTAAGGGTTTCAGTACAACCCCACTGCCCTGTGTGCCCTGGGGGTGGGGGAAAGGCCCGTAGCATGTGCAAGAGCAAGAGAAACCCTTTGAAAGCAGGAAGACATGAGAGCCCCAGGGAAACCCTGAGTGCTGTGTCTGGTAGAGATACAGTTAGAGCTTTACTTCATAAGAAAGGAGCCTCTGGAAAACAAAGGTGACTTTTCAAAGGCTGCCACACTGATTTTGGATTTCTGTGTCTGTAACTGTCAAAACTGAGACCTGAGAGATTAAGATCCCAGTTGTCCCACCCAAACTCTTCAGGGAGTATTTACCCACTTTAGTTACTCTCATGAGTGAGCCTTCCAGTTAATGGCTGTTTCAAGCAGAGCCTCCAGGACCAGATGCTCTCTTCCCAAAGCCTCTGCTGTGGCTCATCTCTTACTGCCTTTTCACTACTCCTGTTCAACAAACATCTCCATTAACACCAGACAGGAGGTACTCCTCCTCAGCACAGTCTAACTGACACACAAAGCAGGAACAACAAAAATAGGCTTTGAAATTTGCTACCTCTGTTTCAAGCCCACTGAAGGGCCCTATGCTTCAGAATTTGCCTATTTTTCACTTAGTGAACAATATTTATTACACCAACAAATCTGAAACAGAACACCACATGCTTTACTTACTAATAAATAATAGTGCCTAAGCATTGTACCAGCTGCTTTTTGCTTTGTGCAGATTACAGCAGAGATACCCCTCAGTCCATATCATAGGAATGTCTTACTCTTCCTGGAAAACTGTTTAGATTTTGTCTGAACTATTCTCCTTTCCCTTTCCAAAGCTCTCCCTTACCCCCCAGGTGCAAAAAATTTCTGATTTGAAACTTTCCCCGGCAATTATTTCCTGAAATATTTAATCCAGCAGTGTTAACTTTGGCCAGTTGAAGTAAATATAAGTGAGTGAAGACAAAATAGTAAAAATTTAACTCTGGTGCCTGAAGCCCAATGCCCACTGCCATACCAGCAGGCAGGAGACAGAGACACGGAAACCTGTGATGACAAAGACACATCACACGCTGGACAACCAGCCCCCAGCCAGAGATGACCAGCTTCCTATCAGACCTGGTAAGTAGTTGGTGGGGTATTTACATCTGTGCCATTTTTGTACACTGCTAGTGTTTCCAAGAAAAGAAAGTCAGTATCTCAGTAAAAACAACCATGTTGAGATATTACAGATGTTTGTTTCATGTGCTCTGCCATCCAACTTTGTCCAATTTTTATCAATATATTAATGTTTCTTAAGTGTTTTCATTTACTGGAAAACATCTTCTTACCCTCAAACATAATTTGCTTTGATTATCTGCTGGGGGAAAAAAAAAAGTTATATTAAATATATCCCTAATTATTTAGTGTAAGAGATGGCAGGCAGATATTTTGAAAGGCACTGTGCAAAAGGGAAGTTTCTTGCTGTTCCCTCATCTCCATCTAGGTTAAAAAACATGGATTTCCATGGGCTGCCACACTGACAGAAACCTGAGTGAAAAAAAAACATGCTAGAAGAAACATCAGTCTATTTTTTCTTGCCCATTTCAGAGTTCTTTGTTTTTAATTTTTAGCTGCTGTGGGCAATTTCAGGAGACTTTGACACAAAACTTGAATTGAGGTATCAGTGCCCACTAGCGAAAGGTCTGAAGGGTAGCTAGCTCAGCAGCTGCTCTCTCAGGTAAGACAGATCTGGGTACAGAGGGCCTGGTCACTACTGTGGGCACAGGTCTGGGTTGCAGGTAGCCTGGCCACTGTCCAGACAGCAGAGAGGCAAATAAGACCTTCCTCCTCCAAACCACTCTCATGTGCATTAGCCCTGGCATGGGAATGAGCTTGTTACTCTGTTGACTAATTATCAAGAAGGGGAAGGAAATATATCGGTTTCCATAGATAAAGGCTGCATTTTCTTGAGTTGGATGTGGGAAATCACAGGAGGAATTACACTTAACAGACAAGTAGAGGGAACATGTCTATCTCCAAATCTCTCAAACACATTAGATGTTCCTGGAGAATGCAAGACACACTCTGAGAGCAGCCTGCTTAAGCTACAAGCTTAAGAAGACTTTGTTCTACCTCTGCAGGTCCAGTACCGGGGGCTCTTTCAGATGATCACAATCCTGGGGATTGGTGGAACATTCCAAATTGGCTTTCAAATTTCTACCATCACCTACATGTCTCAGGTATGTAGAGACACACAAGACACACTGGTTAATGGTGGCACTGAGTCTACATTACTGCTTTCTGGCAGTCTGCAAGGGTTTAATCACAGTATTGTCCTCTCACAATTCTTTCCCATGACTATTCCTGCTTTCTGGCAGTCTGCAAGGGTTTAATCACAGTATTGTCCTCTCACAATTCTTTCCCATGACTATACTATCATGTAAAGCAGAACACGCCAAAGTGTTGAAAACATAAGAAAAGAGGGGAGCCTGCAAATTGTTGTTTGTATAAGTGCTCCTCAGAAAACAGACTGACTGGGTTGGCATTTGTCTCTCCTATAAACCTACAGCATGTGCCTACTTCAGTGGTCTCATTTGACACCATTCTTCACTACAAGCCAGGCCTCTGTTCCTCAGATTCCAAAGACAAAAAAACAAGGAATGGCAAAATGAACACAACATATGCTATTACACTGTCTATTAGCTTATTATATGAAATAGTGACTTAAGCTGAAGCAACAAAATTATGTTCTAAATATAATAAAATACATGCACTGGAGTCACAGTTTTTGTTGTTTTGTTGTTTTTTTTTCCTGTCTCAGCATGTTAAGGCCTTCATCAATGAAACTTGGCTGGAGCGATATGGCTACCCCATCCATCAGGATAACCTCTTGTTCCTATGGTCTATCACTGTGTCCATCTATGGTATAGGAGGACTTTTGGGTTCTTCATCAAGTAGATACCTGACTGTCAAGTATGGCAAGTATGTATGTTTGAAGACAACTTGTCAATTCAATCTTAGCTTAAGGAAATTATAGTTGAGGTTTTAAACATGAGACAGACTTTCAGGCTTAACCATGGCTGCCCCACAGCCAGTTTATCAGTGTTGTCAACAGATTTGGCTGATTCTTGAGCTTGTCCTGTGGCACAGGCTAATCAACTGTGCTGCCAGCCAGTCACACCAGAGGCAGTTACTCAAGCTGGACTGGTGTTAGCCTGGAGGGAAAGCAGCCTCCCCTGTTTGAAGACAGAATGTGCTTCTTGGAGGTGCTACTCAAAATATAGCAGCATTGAGATGCTGCTAAATGCTACATCAATGTGTTTCATTATGGTTTTTCAAGTGCAGAAAACCTTTAAGACTTTTCTCCACTGCAAAACCCAGAAGTGTTCTCAAACTCCCCGGGCACACTCTGAGTCCAGAGTATTCAGTGCCAACAGTGTGGAAGGGCTTATTTTGTCACAGACCACCTATGTAAAATTTCACAAAACTAGCAAGACAATTTCACCCAAGACATCCTACATGCCAGGAGCTTAAGAGCCATTTCTGCTCCGATTAAAAAAAAAATAAAAAAATTATTATTTTTTTTATTTTCTTACACTTACAGAAAGAAATGTCTCCTGTTCAACAATCTGCTCATGATAGTGGGAGCATCTGTCATGGGCTGCTGTAAAACAGCCCAGTCCTTTGAGATGATTCTAATTGGACGCTTCATGTGTGGAATAAGCGCAGGTAAGTGATTTCTCCCACAGGTCTGAAGGCTCTCCCAAAATTTTACATCTTTATTCAAAGTAAATAATCACCCTTCACTAAGAAAATAAAATATTAAAGCCAGTGATCCCTTGCCAGATCTTCTACAACACCCAGTAATAAAGAAAACAATTGCTACTAATTTCACTAGTATGAAATAAAATTCAACTTTCCCAAGGGCACAAATACTTAAAGCTGTCAGGCATGTTTTGATACAGTATGAAACAAGTACAAGTTACACCTACACCCCAAGGAGAAAACTGTACATTACTGAAGGTCAGGAAACTGTACAGTGCAAAAAGGACAGGAACCAAATACTCTTGTAGAAAAGCTGAGAAAATCCAATACTGAAAAATCGCATAAGTGGATTGAAGTATAAGAAACAATTTGGTGCATGAGGCAACCATATTCCATAATGGTGGATTATTTACAGGCAATTAATGAGTTAATTCTTTCTTCTCTTCCATATTTCTCTCCTCACCTCAAGGTCTTTGTGTTCCTCTGCACCACCAATACGTTGGGGAAATTTCCCCTAAGAAGCTACGTGGATTTGCAAATTCCACTTCCTCTTTCTTTTGGTCACTGGGAAAAGCCATAGGGCAAATTTCAGGACAAAGGTATCATACAATTGATTTCCCACCCAATTCATTTCAGGATCCCCTCTACCTTTTGCTTTTTCCTCTGCTTTTCCATCCATTCCTTTCTCTCCTCAAAATCAATGCAATGAACATTCTACACACACATTTTATCCCCTCCAGGGAGCTGCTGGGCAGCCAGTCCCTGTGGCCCATGCTAATGGCCTCGTGTGGATTTCCAGCAGTGGTCCAGCTGGTCACTCTGCCGTTCTTCCCTGAGTCCCCCCCATATCTCCTCATGCGTAAAGGAGACCCAGAAGGCTGCAAAAAAGGTAACCTCTCCCTCACTTGGCTTTCAGTTGGTTTGTGATGTTTGCTCTCCCCGTTTGGAAAAAAACAAATGGGACAAAATTTCACCTTGCTCACTTCTAAGATGTCTCTGTGAATACCTACTAAGTGCATTTTTGTTGCATTCCTCAGAACATGAAACTACTCCCTACAGCTCTGTATTACAAAATCTTAGACATTCAGCTAACACCACCTGAGCAGCCAGTCTAGTAATAACTGCTAAATGATAAATGCTAAATGATAGATGATAAATGGCTGTTTGCACTGCAGGGCTCCATAGGGCACCCCTCAGCTCTTGGTTGTTGTTACCCTGAGAGAAAGCAGAAGAAAAGTGGACCCCCAGGCATGGAGGGAGTCATTGTTCACCTCACTAGGCCTTTCTGTAAGAACAGGTGCCTCTGTGCAGAAGGGTACCAGGGCTCTGGAGCACACTGTAGGATATCTCTGCCTCACACCACAGGCACAGCCCATGCAAGCTATGCTGGCAGGCACTAGTATTAGCTATTCAATAAACTCCTTAGGCAACAAGCAACAGAGACAAATTAACATGGCAGGTCTCGCTCTCCTTCTCCACAGCCGTAAGGCAGCTTTGGGGTGAAGGCCATCACCAAGCAGAGATTGATGACATCATGAAAGAGAAGGCAACAATGAAAAACACCAAGATCCTGAGTATCCTGGAGCTAATCAAAGAACCAGCTTTCCGTTGGCAGCTGTATACGATAATTGTTCTGACCGCCACAGTTCAGCTATGTGGCATCAATGCAGTTGAGTGCACTTCCCCCTTAAAGTCTCAAAGACTTATTGACAATGTTAAAGGAGACATCATGGCTCCCAGGAGCTCCCTCTGTTTTTCTCAGACTTCTCAGCCCACAACTTGTTGCCTGCCAATTTCTCTTGCAGCAGCAGCAATCTGCAAGTGTTGGCCAGGCTCTTCATACGACATCCCTTTGCCAAGCCCTTGGTACTTGCTGGAGTTACCTTCCTTGGTAGTAAGGCTTATTTAACAGCCACCTTCGGAAGCTGCTCCAAGGCCGCAGAACACACTCTTACAAATGAGCAAAATCCATCATTAAGTTTTGTGTTACTGTTCCCTGCAACTGTTGCTATTTAGCCCCAGCTCTCAGCACCCTCAGACCCTGGGCTGGCAGTGTGCTCACTCTACATTAAAAGCTGACCAACGAGTGCACTCACTGCTCTGGCAGCTTCTGCAGTTCTCTGCCTCTTCCTCAAGATGTTTTTGAAGCCACAGCATTGCAATTGCCCGCATGATTTTTCAACCTCTAACATCACGATGCATCATCTGTAAAGGAAATGCACAGCTGAGTCTAATACAGCTTCAACTGGAATATTTATCATCCCAGCATATCTCCAAATGGTCGCAGAGATATTTGTAAAAGAAAAGGTGCTTGTTTTAACCCCCAAGACTCCATAACCCATGTTCTTTCTTGAGAAATAGGAGTATATCCTATAATGTTACTTTTGGATGGACTCCAGAAGGGATAATATATCTTCCTGTTTCTGAAAGCACCTAAATTAGGACCCTGCAAACCTAATTACATTGCAGCAGCTGGAGATTCTCTGATCCCAGTATTTTTCCTTTTATCTAATTAATTACTTAATTACATTTTTTAATATTTTTGCCTACCAATAAAGTGAACACTACCAAAAAGAGTGCAGAATGCTAGCTCCCTCCAAAGCTGAGCTGCATGCTCCTTGGCTAGCAGGTCCTGTCCAGGGCAGTGTCACACAGGTATGGGTAAGAAATCAGTTATTTTCTTCTCTTACTGTTTTATGTGGGTTTTTTTTTCAGATTTATTTTTATACTTTCGAAGTCCTGAAGGCAGCTGGTTTTGATGAAAAAATGATCTCCTATATGACACTCTCTCTTGGACTCTCTGAACTTGTAGCTGCTGTAGTCTGTGTAAGTCACATTGCTATGGGAATGGGTCACAATTTGCCCTTCTGGCCCTGGCACCAATGTGATTTCTGTCTTTCAGAGCTCCATCATCGAGCGACTGGGCAGGAAAGTGCTCCTAAGAGGAGGCTACTGGATCATGGGTTCACTGCTAGCTGCTATCACCGTGACTCTCTCCCTACAGGTAAGGAAGCTCTTCTCACAGCAGATTTCTCTGTCTGTTCTGTTGATAACCTCTGCTCACAGGCAGAACAATGCTGCTGAGAAAGGAAAGTCAGGCTTAAAAGTGCCAAAATTACTTCTGTGCTCACAGTTTACCCTCTGAGAGGTGAACAGCCTAAAGATCAAGCTTATCTATACATAGGATTATACTCTCTTTCAGGACCCACTCTCTTGTACTCCTGTCTTCCTTTCAACACGGTCCCCTGAGCTCAGCCAGGAGCACATATAACACTGGGAGACTAGGCCTGGCTCCTGATTTCATCAGACTGCAAGCACCAAACACTGGCCAGCAGAAACCAAAATAAACAAAACCCAGATTCTCTGCATCGTAACTTAGCTGCAGAAGATACTGGGAATGCACATATTTGTAGAGACTGGAGACCAGTTCACGTCTATAACAGTGTGTCATTGCTGTAGCTTCTTCAGCAGCAAATGTTTTGGTTCACCAGTATTCATCGCGAGCTGCTCTGTAGACACTACTGTATAATTAGCCTTGAAGCCAGGTGGTGGCAGCACACTTCCATTTTTGTTTCATACACGAAGGATCTCAAACATAGGAGGTAGAAATGTTTTTCCCTAAAGCACTGAGTCTTATACAAGACTTCTAAGATGTAGGAAAGTTCCTTTTCAGTATTAGTTATTGAACCTATCACATAACAAAAGTGAAGAAAGATATGATTTGGCCTTCCCATATCTCTAAGGGTTGAGGAAAGTACTACGGGGTCAAGAAGAAAAGAGAACAAGGTGGAAAAGTACTACGCAGACTTCTTTAATTGAAGGCTTCTAAGCTTGACAGCTGCTCTGCACTAGCAAACTTGCTTCTCTGCTCACCTAACAAAAACCTCACTGCTTCATCCATGGGAAAAAGCACTTGGAGTTCTCTGCCACTTTCCCCCCACACTGTGTATTTTTTTCTTAAGGTGACAGTGTTGGAAAATGGGCAGCATTTCTCACCTGCAGTTATCAACAGACTTCACCTAGAAGTTCCTAATGTTTCTCTGTGTTTGAGTTGTTTAGTTTTGGTTTGGTTTTTTTTTCCCAGGACTGGTATTTCTGGATGCCATACTGCAGCCTTTGTCTGATTATCTTGTTTGTAGTGGTCTTTGCAGTTGGGCCAGGTGAGTACTTCATTCAGAAGAAATAAAATATTCAAGTCATGTGAGTTTATTAATATGGCTAGGAAAATACTGCATAATATTGCATTACATTTAGCACAAGTACATTCATTTAACCTAATACTTTAGTCATTTAAACATTGTGGGTCCAATCGTTGCCAGAAACTTCAATGCCATCAGGTTTGGATTTTGCTAACAAGAGGAAAGGAAGAGAGCAAGAAGTACTCACTGGAAAAACACAGCACAAATGGAGCAAAAGCAGATGGGTAAAAGATTTTTTGAAGCACTAAGAAAAAATAAAGAAAAAGAAAAACAAGACTTCTTTTAAATTCAGTGTTGCATAATGTTATATCTTAACCCACATAGACAGCAGTGCAGAAGACCTATTTTGGAATAATTATTTTCCTAGCATATACTATCTGCTTCTCTTTAAATATTTTTTTAAAACCTATTCATTTTCAAAATATTTGCCTTCCCCTATGTCAGGGGAAGTTCAAGTTGTTGAAGTCCGGTGAGTTTGAAACATAACTGAAGTGCCCAGGAAGTGAAACTAGGAAGACCACTCATGGCTAGTCTAGCAGTATCACATTAGGAATTCTTGTTAGTAATAATATTTGTTATTCCATCCTTACACAGCTTCTTTCATAAGATTATCAGACTTTATCAAGTGTTAACAACTTAATTCTTGAATATCCCAGATAAATGTATTTGAATAATTTACCATTTTAAGAAGTTGATGTGTAGAAGTTTATAAGATGCTGTAAACATTTGTTTTCTAAAAAGCAGTGATATACTCAACTATTTTGAATGCCAGTCTGTAACAGTGACATCTGATTGCTGACTGTGTAATGGTAGTGTTCACTACAAATGTTCAAACCAAACACATCAACTAGTAATAATTCTCATTCTTCTTTCCTTGCAGCTGGTTCCACAGTTTCTGTTAGGGTTGAAATCTTCACGCTCTCCTGCAGACCACCTGCCTTTGCCATCACTGCTGTTCTCAACTGGGTGGGCATGTTTGTGATTGGAACCACCTTCCCCTTCATTGTGGTGAGTCACTTTCCCTGGGACACTACCCAGGGGCACAAAGCTCGAGTTGGCTGTGGGAGCAGGAAGAAGAACAGAAAGAGATGACATTGCTGTGTCAATCTAGACATGGCATGTCAGTCAGCCTTGCCACCTGCTCTCCCCAGTCCACTTTTGCAACTGAAGGGCCCTGATTTGCCAAAGATACTTGTTCAGACTGAAATATTTGTCAAAGCTCAAAATGCAAAGAACTTCTTGACAAATTCAAAGTACTTTGGGACCCAAAGACAAGAACTGTGCCAAGAAAGTGGCAAAAGAAAAGATGCTCATTTTGCTCTTTCTCACTTTGCTCTTCCCTGCAGGAAAGACTCAAGCACTTCTGCTTCCTCATCTCTATGGGGGTACTTTTCACTTCAGGGACAATTATCCACCTGATCCTTCCAGAAACAAAAGGAAAATCAATTGTGGAAATCACAGAAGAGTTCGATAAGCTAAACTTTAAAAAGAAACGTATTCCAACTCCTTCAAACCATGTCACAGAGGATTATACTTTCTGCACCCGGCTTTGACTGGCCATAAAGGAGAGTCAGGATCTCCTCAGGAAGGAAAAAAACACACTTGTGGTGTTCTGACAAACAAGCTGGTCCAAATGGACTGCCAGCTTTTGTATCTGTCACTTACAAGGTTCCCATTTTGCCAAACCAGCACCTTTCTCAAGCACTCCTCTCTGGGCAGCTTAGCAAAGGAATGATGGCTGATATTAACAGGGTAGACTCGTGTGAATCATGAGCATTTTGGCTTAACTTGCCAATGTGTAAATCTCTTAACAGAGCAACTAATACATACTGAAACTACATGTAGAATTTATAAACACTCTGCTGACCGCAGAGAAAGGGAAGACCTGTGATGCCCTCTCTCTCTATGATTTCTGAATGTGTTTTTACAAACCTGAAATGGGAACAGTGAAGTTCTTGGCTTGCTATGTCTGGCTAGGGTTCAATCCATAACAGATTAAAGAAAAAATTTAGTGGAATGGGAGAGTAATTCTTTGTTTCTCTAGACTCAGCTGAATAATCAAGCCTTGCCAGGTTCCCATGCATAACGTCATGTCGTCCTTGTGTTGTATTTAGTTTGACAGACTTCAACCCTTTTGAATTGAAGTTTTCCATGTCAGCAGCCATCCTTGCTTTGACTTTAATTTTTGCTAACAAATTCAGCCTTTTAATTCTAAGCTCAGACTTGTTCATTAAAAAGTATGTGGGAAAAGCTCCTGTGCAATTCTTCTCAAGGAATAGTATCTTTCAGTGGCAATGCAGCTAAAGGACAGGACTCATGGGTGGAATTCAGTTTTCATAAGCTACAAGCACATAGAGTCATTTGAGATAATCTGTGCTATCTTGCCTATTACCATCAACATCTCAAGCTGGGAGCTTCTCTTCCAGGATCAGAGTTCCCACAGGTATCTCACAGGCTGTGAATCCCAGAGCAATTTGGCTGCTACTTTGCCTTGTGTGGCTTTTGGCTACATGGACCAAATTTACCACATAAGCACAGCCCCAGGGTGGTAGTCCTGGCTGTAATAGAGTACTTGTTGCCTTACAGTTTCTCCTAAAGACATCTGTCCAGGACCTTACTGTGTGTACAGCAGACTGTCAGCAAAAGCTCAATCACATCCTCCAGCTCTTACATACATGCAGGGCTCCTGCCCAGGGTGTATTTCCCTATCGTGACTTAGAAGTGATCACATATACTCATATTTTAGTGATGTGCAATCAATACAGGCTCTTCAGTTATTGTTCACTACAAGAGTGGATGCTGACTGACAGCTGTAGGGATGACTAAATACTTTATGCCTTGAGTGTTTTGTCAGACTCATACAGCTACATAAGATTTACAGTAAAAGTAAGAAATACGATTCTAACATAGAGAACTTTCAAGGCATTAATTTAAGCATTTCTAACAACAATTTATTATTTAATTTACAGTCTTTCATAGGAGTTTTGCCAGTTTTTACAAGTGTGTGCTGTGCTGAGAGACAAGGAAACAAAGTGAGAGAATGTGTTCAAACATCATATGCAAGTTTTCTGTCTTCCAGATTTAATGTGATAAACCATTCCCAGAGATCTCTGTTGTAGGAATGGATGCAGCATAATTTTCTACACATCTATAATCAACATCTGTGCTTGAGTTCACATACTGCAGGCTTTCAAATTGTTAATGGTCTTCAAGGCAATCTGAAACTGAGTTCCTAATTCCTGTTCCTGCTGTACATAGTTAGAGGTAAAAAGAGCTTGTGAGCCTTACAGGACAGTGTGATCCTGTGAAGTACCACAGGGATTAATTTAATCAGAAACTTTTTTGGAAATATGCAAATTCATGGGACTTTTCTTTAGAAAGTGCCTAATGTTCTGCACCTTTTCCTCTATTAATGAGAAGCTCACACAGTCCCAGTAGGAAGAAATTAAGAGAGCTAAGGTTCACAGTGGAGCATGCTATACAAATGAAAATTCAAACTCTGGACTTACACAGTTAAATAAGTGGCTGTATCTCTAATATTGCTTTAACTGGCATATTTACTTCAACTCAAAAAATGTTATTCAAAATATTAATTCAATTGTTCATCTTAACTGCTGCTTATTTTTAACTGGAAATGTTAAATATAATAAAAATGGCAGATCATTTCATGATAAAACTTCTAGCCTCCAAAATGTTTCTTTCCCAACATCAGGATCTCCATTAGGGCAGCTGACTCAAAAAAAAAAAAAAAAGTTATTGGTGTGCATACCCTCCCATGATTGGGGTTTTTAATTATTCTGGTCTTTAGTACTGAGGGACACTTAAGACTTCTCACTAAGATATAATCTATGAAACCTGAAATTTCCTTAAAACCAGAAAAACTCAATAATTTTGTAGTATACCATATACATATAACACGATAGAAAACTACAAGTCATTTGGGGACAACTACCAATACAGAAAGGGAATCTCAACATTGTGCAAAACAGAATTCTCTTCTCCTAAACAGTCATTCTGAAAACATCCTTCATGCCTTTATAACAAAACCTGAACTCTTTGGAAATGTAAGCAGAGTGGCACCTGGGAGCATTGTTGGAGTGAATCTCTGCTGAGCCACTTCTATGATCTGTTACTCATTAGATGTTATTAGGAATGATTGGGGTTTTTAATTATTCTGGTCTTTAGTACTGAGGGACACTTAAGACTTCTCACTAAGATATAATCTATGAAACCTGAAATTTCCTTAAAACCAGAAAAACTCAATAATTTTGAAGTATACCATATACATATAACACGATAGAAAACTACAAGTCATTTGGGGACAACTACCAATACAGAAAGGGAATCTCAACATTGTGCAAAACAGAATTCTCTTCTCCTAAACAGTCATTCTGAAAACATCCTTCATGCCTTTATAACAAAACCTGAACTCTTTGGAAATGTAAGCAGAGTGGCACCTGGGAGCATTGTTGGAGTGAATCTCTGCTGAGCCACTTCTATGATCTGTTACTCATTAGATGTTATTAGGAAAGCCCTCCCCATAAGATCCTCACCAGAAAGCAGGCAGATGCCCTATGGAACATTAATGTGACAACGAAGCAGAACAGCTATTTGGAGCACAAGTCAACCTTTGCCTGTGCTCAGTGGAGCAAGAGCTGTGTTCTGGTAACAGTTTGGTCAAGGGATGAAACAGCAAAATGGTATGGTTCAAATACAGATGACTAGAGGATACCTGTAAGATAGCTGCTAACTACTTGTTAGCACTGATTATGAAGCTGCATATCTAATAATGGGGCCCTCAGCTCAGTGTAAGCAATAAGAGCACAGTAGCAGTACAGTAGCTTGTCAACACAAATGCAAAAGACAGTATCCATTAAGGACATTATGGGACGTAGACCCTTAACCTACCAAAAGTAAGAATCTTAAATTAAAGTATAAGAGCAAAGAGTAAAAGTTACAATATGTATCAAATATACTCAGTAGAAGTGGGTCAAGTAGAACATAAGAAAATATGTGTAACAGGCTGCATTTGAGAAGGAATGTCCCACCCTGGTAGCTACAAATAATTGCCTGCTTGTTTCCTCCTTCAGTATCATCTAAGCCAGGCAGATACTTGCAGCTAACATGGCATTTCTTTCCTTTGTCAGATGCATATTATGTTGATTCAACCTTGTATGACTTTACAGAAAGGAAATTAATTCCTAGCATCAAAGGGACAGTCTCATTTGTGCTCTAACTACAGCTTATCTGCTTGAGAACCTAATCTAGAAAAAAACTCTGCCTTGAACTCTCAGCACACACCAACAACAAATGTCAGGTTCATGATGGGAACCACGTAACAGGAGAAATTACCTGGTGGTGCTACATGCTACATTACAGACAGTAGCTGGAGAATCTGTGGATATTCTTTGCATGTGATGGATTTTCTAGGCAATATGAGTGCTTGTGTCCAATAAGCCCTTTAAGATTTCTTCATCCACATCTTCTTTTACTGTAGTGTAAATGGCAAATGATAACTAAGCCCTTTACCAGCTTTATACATAACAAACCCTTCTTAATTATGAAATTAGTGAAATCAAAGCCTGAGAACTTTCTCCCTGAAGGAAGAGACATCGAACCAGCTAAGAAGGTTACGGGGCAGTTTCATCACAGACACAGAAACAAATATGCTCACTAATGGAAATATCAGACACAACTGTGCATGACATTAAATCTACCTCTCACACCAAAGGAAAATTGTCTATTATCAAATATTTAGATGTTCAAGCTGGTCTGCTACTGTAGAATTTTTAATTTTGCAATGATGGATCATTTAAAGTCCTTTCAGTAATGATTAAGTTACGATGTGCTCCAGTTGCCATCACATGCAGAGAGAATAGCTCTTTCCTGTTATATGTCAAAGTCCTATAGTTCACTGTCCAAGCCACATCTAAAGATTCCCAACAGATAACTTTGTCTTTATGTTTCTCAGCTTATACTGAAAACTAAACAAATTATGGTTATTTAAATCCTTTTTAAAATTGATGTCTCAGTTCCCTATTCTCGAGCACAAGATGGAGTTTATGAAGTTGACAGGTTTCCTGTATGGGAGAGCATTTTGTTTACTTGGGCTAGATACAATTGCTGGTTGAAATATTTAATCCAGCAATTCTAAACTTTGCACAACAGCTGAAATATGTGTAATTAACTCAAAAACCTTTGAAGTAAAATTTAACTTCAATAACATGGGACTAGTTCACTGACAGTGCTGTTGCATAATGTGAGCATTTGGTTCTTTTGGCAGGTAGTAGCTGGTAAGCAACAGGAATAAGCTGCTTCATAAGAGATGGCAACCTTCTTCTCTGACCTGGTGAGTACCTGGTCTCTTTTTCTCAGGGCTCTGGCTTATAAAGGATGAAGCTAATGAAATACTAAAGATCTAAATTCCTTAAAGATTGTAAGCTCTTTTGGGACAGAGACCATCTTTGTCTCCTGCATTTAAACATCACTAAGAACAATGGGGCTTGAGGCCAGGAAAATCATGTTGCTTGGTCTTTTCCTGGGTTTGGTCTGCTAGGTGCAGCCTAAGCTGTTTGAGAATAACTTCATCAGGCTTTGCAGACACTTGGGAACAGGACAGATGACCAGTGGTATCACATATCTCAAAAAGGTCTAAGTAGTTACATGTTATGTTTTTTCTTCTTTGAAGTTAAAATTATTTCATTCAGCAAAGCAGACAGTATATCTCAGTCCCTAACTCATCACCAAAGAAATTTTAGAAGGACAGTATTTTCCCAGACTGGAAGATGCCAAGTCTGTCAATAATCAAGCACATACTTACATGGCTAAATAAGTAGAAAAAATAAAATATTGAGAAAGAAGAAATTAAATCCCAAGTCAGCCAGGAAGATTCTTGTTTTAGTGCAATGACAGAGGCTATTCCAAATTACTCTCTGTTAAGAAGATCTTTTAAAAGATTTCTTCTTCATTATGCTTAAAGATATGACACAGTCAGATATGAAAGCAGGGAGTACAATAAAAAGTTGTTGATTTTTACTGCTGTACTTTTGTGGCACAGCATTATGGTTTGATAAACAGCAGACTGCAGACAAGGAAACTGATTCCCTCTTTCCCACATCCAGGACTGCTAAATATTGTAGGCAAACACTGAAAGCTCTACTATCAGGAACATCTTTTAAAATTCTCTCCCCTTCCTGCAAGCAAAGTGGTGAATTATTACTCTTACACTAGCACTTTGTCTTGCTATGGCACTGTGACTGATTATTGCACTTTGGCAGTAAATTAGAGGGATATATGAAAAATACTTTGATCCAAGAGGATTGGAAATAGAAGATGCAGGTTTCAAGAGGGGAAGGGCAACTGTGGCTAAAAAGACTCTAGACTAACAAGAAGCTGATGGAGCATTTTATTCTTGCTTTGCAGGTTCCGTTCAGAGGATTATTTCAAATGATCTTAGTGCTGGGAATTGGTGGTAGTTTTCCATATGGCTTCCACATTTCTGTAATCAACTATCCTTCTGTGGTAAGAAGTCATCTCTTTGAGGCTGAAAACAAAAAATGGATATCCTGAGCTCTGCATTCTCCCAAAAATCTCAAATTTACTGCGATTTCAGCTGATACATCTATGCCCTGTCTTTGGCTAACAGTGACATCAAATGTGTAGAGTATTTGTTCTCCTTTAAAGAACAGGATGGCACTTTCTGTTTTAAATAGTTGCCACTTGAACATTTTGAAGTGTGATCTCAGCTAACTTGTTTTATGAAGGAAGTTAGTCTCAAAAGAAGCCTAATACTAGAACCAGAGGCTAGATCTGAGGTACAGCAGCCAAATAATATGAATCTCATTGTCTTTTTCAGCACATCAGGAAGTTTATTAATGAAACCTGGATAGAGCGACATGGCTCTCCCCTTCATCCTGAGACAATCATGCTGCTGTGGTCCTTCATTGTGTCTGTTTATGGGATAGGAGGATTTCTGGGAAGCCTCTGCTGTGGCTACCTGACTACAAAATACAGGAAGTGAGTGTTTCTTTTAACAGCTCAATAACCAGAAAGTACAGGGAAATACCAAGGTGTTTCTTGGTTGAAGCAGCCTGATTGAACACTAAACAGATCCAGTTTGCTAGCACACCACCTCTTTCAAGTAGCAAGCAATCCTTCATCTTGTTTATCTGCCCTCCTCAGTATTTCTGTGAAGGATCCGCACCACATCACTGGATCAGTGTCTCTGGGAGTAGCAGGATAGTGTAGCAGCCTCATGTTCTCTTCAAGATCCTCTATGACTCTCATAAAGATCTCCTAATTTCCACAAACCCCAAAAAAAGGAGCTGTGTGTCTTGTGTTGTAACATTATGTGCAGTTGCTATAACTTCCTGGAAACCACTATGTGGAAGCTATCCTTAATTGTCAAAGAAAAGCCAGATTTCCACTTCCATACACTCATTCTGGGGTGACGACATTCAGATCTACCCTAGAAAAAATGTGAACAGCATAGAAAAAAATAAATTGCCTGTAACTACGCCATAAAGACACAATCAGCGGCAAAACAAATTATCCAAAAGAAAGATCTGTTCTTGGCAATCCATTTTACTGAAAGTCAGTTCCAATCTGTCTTTTCCACTGGGAAGAGAAAGGATTCCTCACCAGTCAGGTCTGTTCTCAGTGCCTTGTGTGTAACACCACTAATTTCATTTGCAGAGAAATTGGCAAACATATCTGCTTGGTGTGACTCACTTAAAGACCTGCTCCACAACCCACTGATCCAGAGGCCCCTCATATGGGCCTCAACAAACCATCTTAGCCTGCCTGCAATTGGGTTCTTTCCTATCAGGTAAGTGCCCCCAAGAAATTTCTTGTGGGACACTGCCTCATCCCACACTCAGAGGGTCTCTCAAGACTGGAAGGAAGATCATGCACTTCTCCCATGGGTTATTTAACACGTGATAAACCTGATTGCTGAATCACAGTCTTTTAAACACAGGATCTCTGTGAATCCTTAGCGTGTGCAAGAGGACTCTTGTCTAGGCAAGCATAACAACTGAGTGCAAACCCCTTTGATTTGAGCTTTAGACATCAGGGTTATAAACATACCAGCCCACGATTCACACACAGTGTCTTTTTAAATATGCCTCTAAAACGTCTTTCTGCCATCTCAGATCACATCAACTTAGCCAGGAGTGTCTTTAATATGAGCCATTCTAGAGTGGACTCAGGTTATTTCTGGGGAACAACCTGACATCTTCTGAGTTCTTGCTATTAAAAATTCTTGGTGACAAGCTGAATCAGTTATTTGATCTCTTTCCCCATTTATGCTACAGAAATGCTGATTAAGAGTTCCAAGTGTTTAAATTCTAAGTGAAAAATATTAATTAATTTAAACCTGGATTCTGAAATTTTAAAGATTCACTTTGATCATCTTAAGTCACAATTATTTCAACCATTCCTCAAAAAAATGCCTATAACATCCTTCCTGTCGCTAGATTAGTCACTCAAGTAGAAGTTTCTCATTTCACACTAGATTCTCATGGGCTTTTTCTTTGTTTTTTCTTTTCTTTTCTTTTTCCCAGAAAAAAGTGCCAAATGTGCACCAACCTGATCATGCTGGTAGCTGCACTTCTAATGGCCTTCAGTAAAACAGCCAAGTCCTTTGAGATGATTCTGGCCGGACGCTTTCTCTATGGCATTGGTACAGGTATTTCTCATGCCACTGGGAAGTACAAGCATCCATGCTGTCCCCAGATTGTCCCTACAGTTATTGCCATTCTTGGGCAATGATTTTTAAATATAATATACTGGGGCACTTAGTAGAAGTGAGAAACATCATCCCTTATGCAATAAATTTTAAACCAAATACCAGGGTGAATGGAAACAATGTATGAGACAGTCAGAAATTTAAGTTTTTCTAAATGTTTTAACAGTCATTTATCCTCTTCTGTGTTAAAGGTTTTTCTCTCAATATACATCCTCAGTATGTAGGAGAGATCTCACCGAAGAAGCTGCGTGGATTTACCAATTCCACAGTTGCTGTTTTTCTGACACTGGGCAAACTCACAGGACAGGTTATTGGACTACGGTAAAATCTGCAATTTGTGCATCTCTCCAGGTTACACTACTAGTAGAAATCTTCCTATAACTTTACCCAGGGACTGAGAAACCCATTAATCTTCCCCAGAACAGGCTTTCTCTTATGTCAGAATAAAAGTTTCAATCATATTTGAGGCAAACATTTAGTTTTAAATATAGGAGAAATCAAAATCAATTACTCATCATCTCATATCTTCTTATTTCCACACCCTTTCTATTAAGGGATTTCCCTTCAAAGTTTTATATACTTACATGAAAAATCTTAGGCAAGATGTTCTGTACCTACAGTCAAACAGTGGTCAAATAATTCTCATCATCTCTCTAGACATTATTTTGGATCCTGCTGATATTCAGAAAAATTTTCAAAATGCCAAATAATTTCTTTGAGATTGTCTGAAATAAAAATAGCCAAATTTGTGAAATTTGCCAAATTACCAATTCAAATGTTTGCTCCACTGCACCCTTGAATGGATTTTGAGCAATCCGCATCCCTCTGAAAAACTTTTTGAACATTCATTCCATTATTTCAGTATAATTTTGTTTCACATACACTTTCCAGGGAGATTTTAGGAAGTGAAACTCTGTGGCCGTGGTTGTTAGCATCTAGTGGACTTTCAGCATTGGTTCAACTGGTTACTCTCCCATTTTTCCCTGATTCACCATCCTACCTCCTGATACAGAAGGGTAATGAGGAAGCCTGCAGGAAAGGTAGAGTGTCTGCTTTCCTCACTTCACTTCACTTTGATATGTCAGTGACAACCTCTGCAGAAGACAAGAAAGCAGGATAGAGCTGTATGGCCGAGGGCAGTGCCATGGAGTCCTAGCAGAGGCAGTTCTAAATAAAACAGCCGAGGTACCTGTGGCAACACACCTGCACTAACCTGGGACCTCACTCAGCCTAATTTAATCAGTTAAGACAAGAAAGATAGGCATATGTTAGCATGTCTAACATTTCCCACTTTGGTGAGCACTACTTTCTTTCTTGAATGGAAACGGTTCAGGCAGCTTTTTTCTATTAAGTAAAAAGTATTTCAATGTTCACTTTGTTTATAATCAAGTCAACTCAGCATTAGAAAGAGATGCTATACTGACAACCAGCAAGACAAAATTATTCCATTTGCCTGCTGCCCCAGAAGCAGCCAGATGGCAGAAACAGACAGCACCAACACCACCCCCTACACCAATGGACAGGCAGACTAAAGGGTTTAACGTAACCTCTGGTGATGGAGCTACCCTGGCAGGATGATCCACTCCCCTCTCCCTCCCCAACAGCCATCAGGAAGCTCTGGGGGGAAGGAGACCATCAAGCAGAAATCGATGACATTATGAAGGAGAAGGCTGCAATGACAAGCACAAAATCCTTGCGTGTTCTTGAAGTAATAAAAGAGCGGTCTCTGCGCTGGCAACTGTACATTTTGATGACTGCCATGACCACCTTGCAGCTCTGTGGAATCAATGCAGTTGAGTGTTCTCTTTATCCCCAAAACGAGACAGCTCTGGGCAACACTACAAACCCCTCTAAGTCAGTGTTACGACATGAGCTTACAACTGCAACACATTCACAACACTTTTTTTCACAGGTGCATTTCCTCTCTGCATTTTTCAGATATATTTCTATTCTTTTGAAGTATTCCACACAGCCAAGTTTGAAGAATACCTTATCCCATACGTGTCCCTTGGAGTGGGGTTGTGTGAATGCTTATCCTCTATACTGTGTGTAAGTCTTTTCAGGCTTCAGTTTGAAGGAAAATTTTAATGTGGGCAACAATTGTACTATTCCCTACTTATAAGTGGGCTTTGCAAAGATTTGCATAACCTAAGACACATCTTCCTGCTTCTGCAAAGCCACAGACAGGATCAAAGGCAGATCTTATCCCAAATTATTTGCACGACTGTATGTCTTTAGACACACTTTTGTTCTGTAAAATAATTTTCTGATGTTCTGGGTTAGATGTGTGTATGCATGTGTGCACTTTTTTGATATATACCAGCAAGTAAGAAAGGGAACTGTCTAACAAAAGCTTAGGGCTGACTAATAAACATAGCTTAATTAATAATGAATTAGCTTTGAAGAAGCTAATAAAATTAATTAGGAATTAAGAGACTCTCAAATTACATTGACTTCTGGCTATTATTGAGAGACATCTTCTGCAAAGAACACATGGAAAAGGGAGGAAATCTTTAATTTGAGAACTGGGACTTATGACCTGTGCTTTCTGCTTTTCAGAGCACCCTCATAGACCGATTTGGGAGGAAGGTGCTCCTATTGGGAGGATACACACTGATGTGTTCTGTGCTGGCACTCCTCACCATGACCCTGTCACTGCAGGTAAAGGGGCAGCAGCCTTATGGCTACTCACCCAGCATCAGCCCACCTCTCTGGTCTTGCCTCACAGGACACATACAAAAACTTGAGTCACTGGCAGAAAACACAGAGCTTTGCTATTCTGTCGTGTGTCTAACGGTTTGATATCACTGGTTTCTTACTTCTAGCATCAGTTTTTCTGGATGCACTACTTCAGTGTTATCTTGATCTTCCTATTCGTTATCTTCTACGGAATTGGACCATGTGAGTACATCAAGTAAAAATTTCTGGAAAACAAGGAAAGTTGGGAAGATATGTACAAGTAGGAGACAGGGAAAGGATATTGACATCTCAAATTTTATTGCTGAACACAGAATCTAAATAATTTAAAATACAGTATAATCTTCTCCAGATGGTTTGAGATAATTTCAGAACCATTTTTAAAATACTCGGCTAAAAACAGGACTCTAGGCATTGCCAGGTATATTACAGTCATCACATGAATTAACTTAGCAAGTTAAGCTTTATGCCTACATGCTTCAGGTGGAACTGACCACAGAAGCCAAAAGGAGATCTGGTTTTATAAATGACTGAGCTAATAATGGCTACCAGTGCAATATGGAACTGCACAGATCCACTGGCACCAGAAAAAGGATTCCAGTATGTACAAGAGAAATCTAAATTAATAGCTGAAGTCCTAAATGAACAGCTGTAGTCCTTTCTGGAATCAAGGTCTTTCACCCTGACAGCAGAGGGCACCTGCCAGCAGATCACCTATTCTGTCTGTCTGTCATTTTCTGCCACTGCCACCAAGAGGATCTTCGGCAGGAGCAAGGAAACAATTATACCTGGTTTGTGTTTTGCTTTTCTTTTTCAGCTGGAGCCACTATATCTATCATGGTCGAAATCTTCAGCCAGTCATACAGACCATCAGCCTTCTTGATTGTTGGCTGCATCAACTGGATGGGACTTTTTGTGCTTGGGATGGTTTTTCCATTGATTGTGGTAAGTAACTCTTAACAGGATCCTTCCCTCCAGGCTAATCCACTGCCAAATGCTGACAGGGAGCACAATGATAGCAATACCTGGCAATGATATGCAAAGCATAGAGCTCTGTCCAATACCAAACCTGCTCAGGAATCTCCCAAGCCTGTCAGAGGAGCAGCAATGGACTCAGGTCAAACAGGACCAGCAGAAACTCCTGGTTTGATACCTGTCCTGGCTTGTGTATTGAGCACAACTTTGAATTTTAATTACTAAGACACAGACACCCATGGTCAGGGAAATAGAAGTGAGATTCTTCTTCTCCTCATGGTGTCTCTCATGTCTGCTTGCAGGATAACCTTGGACCTTTCTGCTTCCTTATCTTTTTGGGAATCCTTGCTTTATCAGCAATTTTCATCTACCTGTATCTACCTGAGACCAAGGGAAAGTCAATCATGGAAATAAAAGCAGAGTTCAACAAGCTGAACTTTGGGAAAAAAGAAACCTCAGCCACTGAAAATAACCTTCCTAAGGAACAGTTTTTCTGCACCAAGCTCTGAACATCCAGAGGAGAAATTTGCATGACTTAGAAAAGACAGGAAACATTGTTTCAACAGAACTAAAAAGAAAACATTAAAAACAGACTGCAAGCTTGTGTCTTACTCTTTTTTTCTTTTTTTTGTTTTCCTTTTTTTTTTTTAATATAGAAATGAAATTCATTATGCTAGAGTTTTATTTCTTGCTGATACCTAAAAATTTACAGGAAATTTCACCACTCAATTTTAATATCTACTGGATATAAAGAGACATTTTTTCTTATTTAAAAAAAACAAACACAAAAAACAAAAACAAAGCAAAAAAACCCCAAACAAACAAAAAAAACCTTTTATGCCAGTCTACCTTATGAAGTTTTAAAACATTTTGTTAAAAGTGTGTAGGCCCCAAATCCTGTTAGAAGAACAGACATGCAGGCTCTGCTCACAGCCCTGGACCCACAACCCTGGGCCTTAGTTGGTGTCCCCTGTTCCCAAGAGTCCTGCTCCTTGCTGCAGGTACCTGAACACCTTGTTACTGAGCTTTCCTAGACAAGGCCTCATCAGCTCTAAGCACCTCAGGATCAGGAAGCTGCTGACAAACTGTTCAGAGGACACTATCAGAAATATGAAGGAAAAAGTAAAATAATTTAGGAAGACAAACCAAGGGGAGGAAGGATGAAGAAAGCTACATGATCACCAGCCATGATGCTGGGAAAACACTGAGGTCTAAAATATTTGACTAGCAGGCCAGCAGAGGAAAAGCTAGATAGGGTGACTGAGCAGATACAGATTCAAAACTTAGCACCGTCTATTAGGAAAAAAGGTTCCAGCCATAACAACAGAAAAAAACATTGAAAGTGAAATTCTACTGTGCAATAATCCTTCTGGAGATGTAATGGAAATCTCAGTGGAGTAAATCCAGGCAGGGAGAAGGACCTGCCAGAGATGTTAGTGTATGCAAAAGAAGTGACATGGCTGCTCTAAAGCACAATCCCAAGAGCATCTGTGGTGTCTGAGAATCTGATTTCCAACCTGGTACATCAGCTTCTGGGAATTACATCAGATGTTTTCAGAGAAGTAAGAGTTTGTTTTGGAAATGTTTTCCTTGTTATGTAAGTAAGCTGCAACTAACCAGTGATTATTGTACACAGCAAGAAAAAGAGGCTGTGGATATCATTGGAAATACAGTCTAAGTTTTTCCAAATTACAACTAACAAGTATAGGATGAATTCTGACTAAATGCTTCTGATCATGCCACCTGTTTTCAACCAATCACTGAAGATTCATCAATATTACAAACAGCAGCTCCACACCATAATGACAGACCTGCCACTTGGGTTTGTTTTTAATATTTTTACATAGGAAACATGCCCTGAAAAGGCTGTTTGTACCAAAAAAAAAAAATCTGGATTTTTTTTTCAGGATTCTCATTATTTTCAGAATACCTGGGATACAGGAGACACAATCAATTAACAGAGGCTGTAGATTAACACTGGTATATAGTAATTAATCTCCTGATTTTTTATTTGCTAGTTTTTTTACAGCAAGGGTCTACAGTAAATGAACTGACTTAAAATCAACTTACACCACAAAATTCATTTAAGCATATTCATACTGAGGTTTCCACCATTTAAAAGTATTTGTTTAAATTACACTGTTGAAGTACAAGCTTTTAGCACAAGCTACAGAAAGCTTTCCTTCTCTTCCACATGCTGGGGAACAAAGTGAGTAGAAAAGCCCTTCACTCACAGAAACCATTTGGCATAAAGACACTTGTCATCTCAAACACGGAGATGAACAAACCATTTATTTTATCCCCATCATAATTTTCAAGCTGGTTTCCCCACACACACCTCACTGGGGACACCTCCATATGACCCCTCTACATTACTTCTCTCGTCTAGGACTCTACTAGGCAGCAAAAAGAACAGATCCCAGCTCTGCCACATACTCTGCTCTGGATAAAACTGCTCATTTTGGAAAGCCTGTGGATTTCCTGTCTCTCAGAAGATCCTGTTGACTGTTACGGGACTATTTGCACAACAAAGGAACAAGTTGAAAACAAACCCTTTCTGAGTATGTAGAATCCAGTGTTCACCACAGTAGAAAATCAAACCCCTGATTTTAAGGCATCTTTGTCATGACTTAGTCACAGTTCAGGGAAGGTCTCCACAACATGTGCTACTGGGGGGTTTCTGTTATGGTCTATTCCACAGAAAGAGTCACAGACCTCACAACTGAGGCATCTATCTAAATTTCTTTACAATAATTATAAGACTTACATTAAGAGGTACATTATAACTCTCCCACTCTCAGTCTCTGAAACACTTGCTTTTTCACTGGTTTTCATGATCAGACTGTATCCAAATACAAAGTGTCATTTTGGATGCCTTGATTTCCCAAGCTCAAAAAGCTTCCTGTCCCTCTGTGTAAACTGTACCCTGACTATCTGTATTAGCAGCAGCCTGCAGAGAGCCCAGGCAGCTTCACATCCCCAAGCACTCCCAACCCCCCAGGTGCACCTGCAGGAGGTACCTCTGGCTATTTAAAGGCTCCTGAGATGCTCACCAGCACAGTGAGGTAAGTTGTCTTGCAGGTGAGTTAGAAACAAGGCTGTAAACAAGGTGAGCTGAAAGAAAACCTTGAAATCTGAAGATGCCTAAATTCATTGTTAACACAAATATAAGCAAGGATAATGTTCCAGAGTCCTTCACAGAGGAGCTCACCCAGCAGCTATCAAAAGCAATGGGCAAACCAGCACAGGTAAGTCCAGATCGCCAAGTGTTTTCTACATTTATTCAGCTGTGCCTATGCAGTGAACTATTTCTCAGCAATAGCCCCTCTAAATTAATATACCTAATAGTTTGTTAGTATTTAGAGTCTTCTCTCTGTACAAATACCAAATACTTGTTTGCTGTGACTTAGCTCTGCTGAAGTCTCAAAATGCTTAAAATACTTAAGCTAGATTTGTGTGTGATGGTGGACTGAGGTGTGCAGGTGACCATAGCTTGTATGCACAGGGGACAGTAAGAGTTAAAGACAGAAAGATCTTCTCAAGTCAAGAAGTTTTATTTCAATAGTAATAAGATGAAATGCACAGAAGACAAAGAATAATTCATTATAGAGCAAAGGATCTAGGGAGCTATTATGGGTTTCCACACAAATACGAGTCAAGCCAATGCTTGGGAGCAGGGGAATTTAACTTCAGTTGTACACAAGTTGCAACCAAGCCTCAGTAGAAGAATTCCATCCAGCCATGGGCCCTCTACTTTGAGAAAGAGGTAGGCAGATGAATAGATGCACCAAAGGAAAAATGCTGAAGAAATAAGAGACTATAAGGATTAACAGACATTTCAGCTTTTTTAGGAGAGAAGGCTAAAGAGGGAGGCTGTTACGGAAGAGTCAGGAACATCTTAACCATTTTTTCCTTCATCAGTGGCATAAGGCAGGAAGCAGCTAGCTTAACTTGCAGCAAGACTTCAGCTAGTTCTTCAAGAGAAATATTTCAAGTTTCTATGGGACTGTTAATAGCACTGACATTTATTTGACCAATTAGAAATTCTCAGCTCAGCACTCTCTCATAATTAGAGTATTTCTATTTGTTGTAGTATGGCTGTAGACTTTAGAAGTCAGTAGTGTGTGGCTGGATGATCTCATAAAGTTGATTTGATGCATAGTGGAAAAAAAACCAACAATCTCCCTGGTGAAGCGTGGTTCTACTCTGACTGTTCCAGGTGATAATGTTTGACGTCTGATAAAAGGGTTGCAGTTTCTCTAGGGACAGTAATGGAGTTATGTGCAATCAGTCAGTCTCATTAAGCATGTAGGAAATCAATCTCTGCCAAGTTTGACTGAAGTTAGTTATCTCAGGGAACAGAAGCATGTTTTAGGCTTGTATAAGCCTTGTCTCCACAAAAAGCAGGCTAAACTGTAAAGGGGAGTAAGATTTTTTTTTTTTCCAACACATGGTAATGAAACAAAATTCTTATGTAAAACTGATGTGTTCTATCCCTCTGCAAAAAACTTTTCTTTTAGTCATTCTAGAAAAAAAGTACTTGCTGGTTGGAGGGTGGGGGGAATATCAGCTGGTGGTTCTTGCATAACAGCTCCTGAATATAAAGCTGGAGGCCAGGGCTGGGATGCAGCTGCAGCAGGTTTGTGTGGCATTGATATGTAATGGGACTTAGAAATATACAGGGAACAACAAAGAGCTTTTTTGAAGAAGAACATGCAAACTGTTTGTGACAAAGGAGGCAACAGTAAAGGCAGAGTCTCTTAGTTATAACATAGAAAGAAGGAAAGGATTAAGGGTGGGCTGGAATGCAGAGCTTTCCTCTTGCAGGAAATGGTACCATTTGAAAAAAATACTGAGTTTTATTTTTAATAAAATAAATTTTTTCTATTGCAAAAACTGTTTCAGACATTTTCAATCTGCTCTAAGAAGAAAATAATGCTAATTAGCATTTCAGTTTTGTTTTTTTTCTTTAATAATAATCTGCTTTTGGGAGTAGATGCTAAAGCCATATCTGTACTTAGACTTAGCACAAAGCACAGGGTGTCCAGTCAGGGGAGAACAGAGCCAAGCAAGTGCTACCTCAGAAGGGTCTCCTTGACTTAGCCTGTACACTGTGGTCTGATGAACCTTGTGCCAAAACAAGCTGTAAATGATGACCAAGACTAATTACCCAGACAGCTCCTGGTACTCAGGCTAGCTTTTTTTACCAAGAGGGTTAATTGCTGCTGAGTTCCAATGATGCGCTGCTAATAAACGTGGGTAAGACCAGAAAACAGATGGATGCCAGAGGAACTGATCCCTGGATTCCCCAGTGTGTGGATCTGACACTGTGTATTAGCAGCAGGGAAAATTGCAGGCTGGTCATTAATATTAACATAGATACTTTATTGTATTTTTCCTGCTCTCAAGAACAAAAGCAGGATTAGACTGTATTTTGTTGAATGAGAGGGATGTTGATTTAGACCTTTGCTGTGTCAGTTCACATTTACCTCACCAGGGAAGACTGCAGCAGGAGCCAGTGAGGTGCAAAATCTCTCTGGAACGTAGGGCGGCAGCAATGCAACCGCACACCCCCCCTCCCGCCCAGCCTTCCCGCACGGGCAGGGAGAGCCCGCTGCCTCGGAGGAGGGTCTGGAAGTATTGCAGGTCACTGAGCTCTTGGAGCATCTGAACTTTCTACCAACGATGCAAAGTCAGTAAAGATGATACTGCAGGGTCCTCATTCCAACAGTGTCCCTGGGCTGAGCTTGCAGAACCCACCTTTTAGCAGGGATTTAGGCACACTGGGATTGAAGGTTGCAAGGCAGCACGAGGATCTTTGGCCCAGGGTAACTTTGGCACAACAATAAGAGTGAAACTATTCGCCTTTCAGTAAGTGGCAAAAAAATCTCTGAGTACCTGGGACTGTCTGTATTTTTTATTTTTTTTTATTTTTTTATTTTTTTTAGCTTACGAATAGAGCCATTCTGCAATAGAACAAAGAATTGGCCTGGCAGTGCCTGTTTCTGAATGGTATGTCATGGGAATGTAATTGTATTTCATATCATCTTTGTGACTTGCAGGAAAATATTTAGGAAGTCTGGAAGTGCAATGAAGCACATGCAGGAGAATTTCAAAAGCATAATTGTTAGGCATGCACCTATTGTAACTGCAGTTTAGGTATCCTGATACCTTCCTGAATTTTCAAAACCTTTCCTAACACAGCAAAGGAAAATAATATTATTTTATTCTTCCAACAGTACCTAGCAATTCAGATCTCTCCTGATCAGCTGATGTCCTTTGGCTCTGCAGACCCCTGTGCTGTGTGCTTTCTCTACAGCATTGGCAAGATAGGGGAGCAGGAGAACAAGGTCTACTCCAAATTGCTTTGTGACCTGCTAAACAAACAGCTGAAAATACCATCTGACAGGTGAGCTTACAGACCAACTTGTCTGTCATGACTTCACACAGATTATTGAAACTATTAATCCCAGACTCATCCCTTGGTGTTCTTCTATTAAGTTTCTGCTTGAAAAGGCTAAATACTAAGTCAATAGAACAACTCAATTAAAATGAGAAAAGGAGCACCTGCATGAGCTGCAATACCAATGCTCAGAAGCTGTAAGATTTCCTTTAGTTAAAATGATAGATGCTCAGATACTCCATGTACCCACAGATCTCATGTGCAATAGCCCCAGTAATAATATGATGCTATTAAATAGATAACTCAAGGGATGTGTACCAACACCTTCTTGCTGCCTGTGGGGTACAAGTGGAGGCCTGAGAAGTGTAAAGCTCTGGGCGACAGTCTGCAGTGTGGCTGTGTACATTCTGCTGCAGGAAGACACTGGCCAGACTGCAACACTCAGCTCTCAGCAGCTAACAGTGTCTTTCTTTCCTTTCAGAATCTACATCAGCTTCTTTGAGATCAGTGCTGGAAATGTAGGCTGGAACAACACCACCTTTGCTTGAGGTGCCCTCAGGTAGTAACAGGTTCTTCTTGAACCCTCACCACGGTTTTTGAGCACTGCAGTTCTAGGCATGATACTGGTATCTGGCACAAACACAAATGGCAGTAGTGCCTCAGTTGTGGCTATTGGCTGCTGCTTAGCTTGTCTGCTGCTTAAATAAAAGTAAAAATCCAGCAGGAGCCTTATGATTGAGACAATCTTGTTATTCTCGAAAGGCCTGTGTTTGAGATGGAAGGTGTTTTCTCAAAATACAGAAGCTTTTCTTTTTTAAAAAACAATTCAGTCTTCTGTGTAAAGATGAACACTCCATCTGGGTGTGCCTTTGCCTGGTTCATGCCAGTCTGCCTGGCCAAATTTAAATACAGCTATCTTGACCTGGTTTCAAAATACTTTCATTTCAGTCAATAGATGTGGCTGTCAATGTGGCTGTAATACAGCCCTCCCTTTAAAACAAGAAAAGATGGGATTGCAGGGGTGGATTGCGGTACATGGATTAACACTACATGGACCTCTAGCTGTTCAGCAGAAAAACTTCTGCTGTAAGAATCTCTCTAGATTCAGGAATAGGCAGAGCAAGTAAATGGAAAAACCCACTGTTCACTGCTCTGCCCTCCCCTTTTCATCCATTGAACAATTTGCAGTGACAGTGGAGATTAGAGCACGGCTCAAAATGAGGCACAGGCACAGTGAGCCATTCCCAGAGGCCAAAGTAATGAATTAATTACAAAAGGAAGTTTTCCATATAAATATTCAAGCCCTTGGTCAAAGAACAATTTGCTTCCAAAGTAAAATAGAAAGTCTGAGTACAGATCTGTTTCCTGAATCTCTAAAATTAGGTCTCCAAAGACTTATTGTTTTTTCTGGAATAACAAAGCCAACTCACCTCTGTCCTGAGCTCTACTGTGCACATCCATTTTGTCCCTATCACAGCTTTGCTTTGCAGCCACATTGTTTAAATACAAGCCTGTACCTCAACCTGCAATAATGCTTTGTTGAAATAACAAATGAAAGCTGCTTTAGTGAATCAAAGCAGCACAGTCAATGAAGCAACATGCTATTTAGCATCTAAACACATTATATCTTATTAAATATTTTTCATTCCACTTAATGCATTGCAGAGCTGCCTGAGGAAGCTAGACATGGCACAAAGTAGGTAGACTTGGCAGAATTGCCTGTGGAGAATGGCTATGAAGCCTTTAAACAGACAGGATCTTCCATGGGGAGGCAGTCTTCTCCTCTAGAAATCAATCTGCCTTTTCCATAGGGCCACCTGCTCCAAGAGTGCTGCCTCTGCCAGTTCTTGGAGCCACAACACCAGCATTCTCTGAATGCCCAGTTGCTCTGTGCCCAGGTTTTGATTGTGATGCAGGTGGGTGTGTGCAATTGCAATCCCTGCATGCCCCAGCCCTGCAATTTGCAGGCAGCCTCCAGGCACAGTTTCAACCTGTCCCACATCTCTTCTAAAGCCTTCCTACATTTCAGAGTTATTCTCACAGCATCCAAACCTTGAAATGTGTGTTTGTAACATACCTCCTGGCACAAGTGTTATTAACATCACCACTACTTGCTATACAATCCTTACAGGGAATATAAAAGCTGCATTTGCCTCTGGCACATCATTACAATGCTCTTTGGTATATTTCTGTAAAGCATTTTACCTTTCAGTTTTTTTGCTCTTGGACACATTTCTTCCTTGTTCTTATTTTAGCCACAAGTGGTTGTGTTTTAAAACAGATGCTGTGCATCCAGGAAACGTATAATGAATGCATGAGTCTGGAGCAATCACGTGAGGGAGGAGTGCATACACACATGCACGCTTGTATTTGGTTAACTTCTAAAAATGCATCTTTAGAAGTTATGAAAATGTAATGCATTGCTTCTCCCTTAGGCAAGGGGGCAAAAGATAATGACATTGTAGCTGTCTTCCCCTTGTGTGGCAGCATGGACAGGGGTCACAGAGCAAGCACACCAGTGGTGACATGGCTCTTGAGTTTTTCTTTCTGGACTGCCAGAATTCCCATCCCATCTGACAACTCTTGGAGGCAGGAAGGGGGGAGGCATCAGAGGCACTGGGCAATGGCAAAGAACTGAGGATCTTGGGTCTGTTAATCACTAAAAAAATAAGTGCTCCAGTCCTGCCAATCCTCAGTGTTACAGCCTGTGCCAGCCCAAAGCATTCCCATACAATGCCATCCCTTATTTTTCTTTCAGGGCTATGTGTGTTCACCTGTGTCCACACATGTAACATGTATGTATGGTCAAGCTTTCTATAGCAGCAGTGCTGGGACTTTGTTAAAAAATAACAGGTGCTCAGTTCCTTGTGTGTAAACCGTCTGTGTGGAGTGGGCTCTGGGCCTGATCCCCTTTTAGCCTTCCTGTGAGTCACCTCAGCCGGTGCGGAGGCAGAGGCAGGGCGGGGAGCAGTGCCCTCCGCAGCCTACGTGCGGGGCATCACACAGCAGGCTCAGCTCTCGGGCGGCCTCTCGCCTCCGAACAGACACGCACCATTTCACTGCTAAGCAAGAGATGATCACTTCTGCCTCTCTCCAGCAGAAAAATATAAGAAAATGAGGATGCTGAAGGGTAATGGATCACTTTCACTTTGACTGAAAAGCGTTAGGGATTAGCATGCCAGCAAGTCAGGCGTTTTCTGCTTACACTGTGTTAAAACTATGCACAAAAATTAAAACAAAAAAGTACTAATCTGTCTGTATTTTGCAAAAAGAAAAAGAATTCCCTTCGGAGCCAGAGCTAGTGTCCCTTTTTGCAACTGCCGAGCTAGGGCCTGATCCTTTCTTGTCCCTGATCCTGCCAAAGCCGATGGATGGTGATACCACATGCGCTGACACCAGGTTATGTATGAACTGCCCAGCGCGGCAGGACTCGCTCGGTTCCAGGGAGGAGCCAACAGCGCATCCTCAAAAAAAAATGCTCAACAGCAGTAACAAAGCAAACCAATAACGGCAGGAAGCGGGGGAGAGCTCTGGC